CAGTTAGTGGAAATAGGCACATGGTTTCAATCAGAAAGTTGCTGAGCGTTATCGAAAACCACTAAATCAGTCATTTTCAGAAAGACTTTGAGCGCGTGAGAAGGGTAGTAGCGCATGAGACAACTAATAAATTAAAATTTGTTAATTAACCTTTTAATTAGTGGAAATAGGCATATGGTTCCAATCAGAAAGTTGCTGAGCGTTATCGAAAACCACTAAATCAGTCATTTTCAGAAAGACATTGAGCGCGTGAGAAGGGTAGTAGCGCATGAGACAACTAATAAATTAAAATTTGTTAATTAACCTTTCAGTTAGTGGAAATAGGCACATGGTTTCAATCAGAAAGTTGGTGGGCGTTATCGAAAACCACTAAATCAATCATTTTCAGAAAGACTTTGAGCGCGTGAGAAGGGTAGTAGCGTATTAGACAACTAATAAATTAAAATTTGTTAATTAACCTTTTAATTAGTGGAAATAGGCATATGGTTCCCATCAGAAAGTTGCTGAGTGTTATCGAAAACCACTAAATCAGTCATTTTCAGAAAGACTTTGAGCGCGTGAGAAGGGTAGTAGCGCATTAGACAACTAATAAATTAAAATTTGTTAGTTAACCTTTTAGTTAGTGGAAATAGGCATATGGTTCCAATCAGAAAGTTGCTGAGCGTCATCGAAAACCACTAAATCAGTCATTTTCAGAAAGACATTGAGCGCGTGAGAAGGGTAGTAGCGCATGAGACAACTAATAAATTAAAATGTGTTAATTAACCTTTTAGTTAGTGGAAATAGGCATATGGTTCCAATCAGAAAGTTGCTGAGCGTTATCGAAAACCACTAAATCAGTCATTTTCAGAAAGACATTGAGCGCGTGAGAAGGGTAGTAGCGCATTAGACAACTAATAAATTAAAATTTGTTAATTAACCTTTTAGTTAGTGGAAATAGGCACATGGTTTCAATCAGAAAGTTGGTGGGCGTTATCGAAAACCACTAAATCAGTCATTTTCAGAAAGACTTTGAGCGCGTGAAAAGGGTAGTAGCGTATTAGACAACTAATAAATTAAAATTTGTTAGTTAACCTTTTAGTTAGTGGAAATAGGCATAATTTTCCAGTCAGAAAGTTGCTGAGCGTTATCGAAAACCACTAAATCAGTCATTTTCAGAAAGACATTGAGCGCGTGAGAAGGGTAGTAGCGCATGAGACAACTAATAAATTAAAATTTGTTAATTAACCTTTCAGTTAGTGGAAATAGGCACATGGTTTCAATCAGAAAGTTGGTGGGCGTTATCGAAAACCACTAAATCAATCATTTTCAGAAAGACTTTGAGCGCGTGAGAAGGGTAGTAGCGTATTAGACAACTAATAAATTAAAATTTGTTAATTAACCTTTTAGTTAGTGGAAATAGGCACATGGTTTCAATCAGAAAGTTGGTGGGCGTTATCGAAAACCACTAAATCAGTCATTTTCAGAAAGACATTGAGCGCGTGAGAAGGGTAGTAGCGCATTAGACAACTAATAAATTAAAATTTGTTAATTAACCTTTTAGTTAGTGGAAATAGGCACATGGTTTCAATCAGAAAGTTGGTGGGCGTTATCGAAAACCACTAAATCAGTCATTTTCAGAAAGACTTTGAGCGCGTGAAAAGGGTAGTAGCGTATTAGACAACTAATAAATTAAAATTTGTTAGTTAACCTTTTAGTTAGTGGAAATAGGCATAATTTTCCAGTCAGAAAGTTGCTGAGCGTTATCGAAAACCACTAAATCAGTCATTTTCGGAAAGACATTGAGCGCGTGAGAAGGGTAGTAGCGCATGAGACAACTAATAAATTAAAATTTGTTAATTAACCTTTCAGTTAGTGGAAATAGGCACATGGTTTCAATCAGAAAGTTGGTGGGCGTTATCGAAAACCACTAAATCAATCATTTTCAGAAAGACTTTGAGCGCGTGAGAAGGGTAGTAGCGTATTAGACAACTAATAAATTAAAATTTGTTAATTAACCTTTTAATTAGTGGAAATAGGCATATGGTTCCCATCAGAAAGTTGCTGAGTGTTATCGAAAACCACTAAATCAGTCATTTTCAGAAAGACTTTGAGCGCGTGAGAAGGGTAGTAGCGCATTAGACAACTAATAAATTAAAATTTGTTAGTTAACCTTTTAGTTAGTGGAAATAGGCATATGGTTCCAATCAGAAAGTTGCTGAGCGTTATCGAAAACCACTAAATCAGTCATTTTCAGAAAGACATTGAGCGCGTGAGAAGGGTAGTAGCGCATGAGACAACTAATAAATTAAAATGTGTTAATTAACCCTTTAGTTAGTGGAAATAGGCATATGGTTCCAATCAGAAAGTTGCTGAGCGTTATCGAAAACCACTAAATCAGTCATTTTCAGAAAGACATTGAGCGCGTGAGAAGGGTAGTAGCGCATGAGACAACTAATAAATTAAAATTTGTTAATTAACCTTTTAGTTAGTGGAAATAGGCACATGGTTTCAATCAGAAAGTTGGTGGGCGTTATCGAAAACCACTAAATCAATCATTTTCAGAAAGACTTTGAGCGCGTGAGAAGGGTAGTAGCGCATGAGACAACTAATAAATTAAAATTTGTTAATTAACCTTTTAGTTAGTGGAAATAGGCACATGGTTTCAATCAGAAAGTTGGTGGGCGTTATCGAAAACCACTAAATCAATCATTTTCAGAAAGACATTGAGCGCGTGAGAAGGGTAGTAGCGCATTAGACAACTAATAAATTAAAATTTGTTAATTAACCTTTTAATTAGTGGAAATAGGCATATGGTTCCAATCAGAAAGTTGCTGAGTGTTATCGAAACGCACTAAATCAGTCATTTTCAGAAAGACTTTGAGCGCGTGAGAAGTGTAGTAGCGCACTAAAGTTACCATTTAGAGGGAAATTTTCCGCCTAAATATAGCGGGGGAATGTCCCATAATGCAACGCGTAGTTACGCCAACGGCGACGGCGATGCCGCTCAACCCGAAAACATGCACCTAAAAACTGCGCTCTAAAAAAAAAAAAAAAAAAAAAAAAAGAAGTAGCGCACGCAAGAACGTTCGGTTTTCCGTCCCTCATGTTATAGGGGATACGGATTAATTCCCGGAGTGAATTGGTCAAAGTCCCAAAAATCGTTGCACCACCTCTTTTCAGGTTGTGGGTAAGGAACTTGTTAACACAAACGTTCGGGCGAGTTGGTTACTTATGGTCAGGGATGGGCAGTATTTCAAATACAAGTACTTGAAATACGTATTTCAAATACTTTGTGTAATTTGCATTTGTATTTAATTGCAAATTGGGTAATGTATTTGATATGTGTATTTAAATACTAAAACGTGGGTATTTCAAATACAATTGTAATTAAATACAATTTTGTGGGCGAAAATAAATCCCTCAAATTTATGGTCACTGTCCAGAGCAGGAAGAAAACTACGTTCTGCACCGAATGCAGTGTCTCTCAATCAAGCAAAAGCCTTTAGTGACTTTGTGATTACGGTGTTAGTCCAGGGCAAGAATAGTGACGAAATCGACGTTCACAGGCAGATTGACTAAATAAGTGCGTGTGACAACTTGTGATGCTTTCCAGCCTGATTTCCATGCATATTTTTGCCTGGAACATTCTAAATGTCCGGGTCGTCCAGATTTTCGTAACTAGTGCGAGTTGCAACAATAAAACATTCTCTGGCTAGTGCTGCGCGTCTTGGTCGTCTCGTTTCTTTGTTGGTCTATACCAACATGTAATCGACGAAAAAATCAGATTGAAGCTCTGTACTTTTTTCACCTATTGCGTCCAAGCTGATTACATTTGTTTTTGTGTGATTATATTTGTATTACATTACTAGAGCCTCCCACACTAACTCCCGAGTGTGCGATACAAAATTTAAATGAGAAACCCGTTGCAGGTGCCCTGAAGTCGCTGACGAAAATTTTGAGGAATGTATTTGGAAAAGTATTTGGAGGAGACCAAATACATTTGGTTGTATTTGTATATTGTACTTAAATGCTTTTCTGGAAATGTAATTAGATTTGTAATTAAATACATTTTTGACGAAGTATTTTGTATTTGTGTTTCGATACATATTTGCATGTATTTTGCCCATCCCTGCTCATGGTGTACAGGGGGAACAGCGCACTCGAGCGACTGTTTTCCGGGTGCGCTGTTCCACCTGTACAGGGTGTCATGAAAGAAAATTTACAGGGTCTTTTTTACCGCAAAAATAAACTAGGCATCGCCGAGCGCTCATTCTCCGCCCAAAGGTAGCGCTAGAAGTCACAACCAGATGGCAAAGTTTCAGCCCGATCCGATAACTTAATCAAAAGTTATAAGTGATTTTCTGAAAATTTCAATGGGAACATGGAGCCCATTTTTGCCCGTTTTCGGTTTCTGGTGCCATAGCCCCATATGTTTGAAAACTCTGTCGGCCGCAATTTTCCCATTGAAATTTTCAGAAAATCACTTATAAATTTTGATTAAGTTATCGGATCGGGCTCAAACTTTGGCACCTGGTTGTGACCCCTAGCGCTACCTTTGGGCGGAGAATGAGCGTTCGGCAATACCTAGTTTATTTTTGCGGTAAGAAAGACCGTGTAAAGTTTCTTTTGTGACACCCTGTACATCGGGGGTAAGGAGTGTTTGCTTTGCACCTTTTTTTTATTTTAGGAGTTGTGTTTCCAGCAAAACAGGCTTTGCGGAAGGATAATGCTTGAGGGGGTTCTTAAACACTTGATCAGCGTTTGCATCCGAAATGCCTTAGTTATTTATACAGATAGCTTGAAGTTGTGCGCCGAATTTTATTAGGATTGATTTCAAAGCGCGTTAAAAGACTAGCCGGAAAACCAACGAAGCCGGGCCAACGGGGCTTGGTACGCAACAAAACACCCGTTAGGATTGTAAACACAGTTTGCCAAACCTTAGGGAAGAAAACCTTTAAAAATAAGCTCGCTTGCACAGTGAACGTCCACAATGTTCCATTGTGCTTTATTACGTTCGATCGAGGAGCCTACGCGCCCTTCTCCTGTTCCCAATCCCAGCAGGCCCCGGACCGCTTGTGCTTCACGAGGTGTTGCCATCTCGTGGCACGCAGACGAACACCGGACACAGCGTGGCTCCTTTTTACAATTTTTGCGTTTGGTTTTTCTAAAGAGATGTGCAAACCGAACGCCAAATAACATATTTATTAGACGAAAGAGGACCATTTTGATTAGTTAATTTTTTCTAAAGAATCGTAGTATACATGGGAAGGCTATGCTTATTTCAATATAACTTAATTTTGTGTATTTTTGCAATTTCGCATTGCTAACAAACTAGACAACCAGAAATATTTTATTTCAATGAATGACCGCATCGCAACAAATTGGCATTTAAAACATTGACATTGCATCCCTCAAGACTTTCTACGCAAGCTCGATTAATGTTTCGTAAAGATGATTCGTTTAGGTGGGGGAAAACGACGCCAATCAGAGCTAATCTACCTCAGCGTAGCCCCAGACGTTTCTAGAGAGCGGCGTAGCCACGGGTAGAAGCAGCTCGTTGAGCTGGAGATGGGCAAAGCCAGCGCTCGCCAACACGTCTCCGGTCCTCCTGGTCACATGGCACCCACAGCAGAGTGAACTCCACAGGGGATCCAGGATCCTCTGCACCGCCAGGCCCCAGCTGCCTTCGTGGTGAGCAACGTGCTCCGCGAAGAGCAGCCGCCCGCCCTGGTGGGAGCATGCGGAAGCAAGCTGATTGACTCGCGTGTCAGACAGGACACTTAGCAAAAACTTGACAGTTGTATTTTACCGATTGATTATGCCGTCATATTCAGAATCGCAGTATAAGAGAAGCGGCGAGTTTTTATTATGTTTTCTATCTACGCGCTGATAAATCATGTCACATGAACTGAAGTCATCACTTGACGTTACGCATCTCACCACGTGACTTCACGTGGCACCAAGTGACGTGACGCCACCACAAACTTTAGTATACTAGCTCAGTTGTGGATCTGCCACACCCCCCTTTGTTGGGAATTCCGCAACGTTTCGGCCATGACGCTATGGCCGAAACGTTGTCTAGATCTATTTTTTAAACGAATCTGTGTCATGTCAAAAAAAAAAAAACTAATTTTGGCTGGTATATAACAATTATTTAAATTTTTCAAAGTTGACCTTAGGGGTTTTGGGGGGCTTAGGGGGAAAGCGGCGGTCGTACCCCCCCTCCCCCTCCCCCCCTTCCTCCCCCCCCCCCCCCCCCCCCCCGAAATGCGCCCAGTGGTGAAAGTTCAAAAAGCAAGGCGCCTAGAGCCCTCTTGCGACGGCCGGGCCCACAACATTCCAAAGCAAAACGAAGATGACGACACTGTCCATGGACTCTGAAAAACTGAAGTCCGGCTCCGGCTGTCTGAAGAGCTCTCGACGAACTCAGCAGTGTAACCGATGCCTTTCTTCAGGCATGCAGGTGCGTATGGCTCAACTCCCGACGTGACAAAAGTCGCGAAATCCTGACCTCCAAGGACGTTGGTCTCGCCACGGAGAATGCAGGTGGCTTTACTAAAGTCCCCGCTTTGAGTCTCAAAAACTTTACGACAATTTCAGGGGATCAAATCCTACAATGAAAACAGGACGACGAAACGACAAACAGATAAGCGTTTTTTTATTCCTTCTTCTCGTCCCGTCTCTCCCAGCCTGCACTCCTTTGTTCTTAGTAAAACACCAGCCAAAATCGAAAAAACAAACAAAGAAGAAACCACCACCCACCTTAATTTAAAAAGAATAAGTGAGAGAGAGATGGTGGCAGCATCTGCACCGTGCAAGCAACTTTGGAATGCTCATTTTTACTTGGTTTCAAAGCGTAGCCAGTTTAATTCATTAATCGCTGCAGTGTGTGTTTATAACCTTCCGTTCGGCACGCAAGTCATGAAAGTAATGGTTGACTACCATGCCCACTACACTCAGCCCTTACTTGACTTCCACCCGCTTTCCTCCCTTCTGATCCCCGGTCCGACCTCATAGCCCAGAAAAACCTCCTCAGACGGGACACACGCGCTTTAATTTCTCCTTGTGTCTGCTCCCTTCCCCGTAACCTTTCTTCGGTGGAGGAAGTTTCTCTTCGGAGGCTTCGGGGTCGGGCGGTCCTAACACCTTCCGTTACCTGGACTTGAAGACACACACCTGCCGACCCGGGTACCTGCCCTGAGTGTTCGGCCCCTGTGGCTACTGCGGATGCTCATCATCTGCTGTGGCTCTGCTCCGGGACTAAGACCACCCGATGGAAGACACATAGAGAGGCCGGACCAAAGGGTCACCCACACGATAACTACACCCATTGGGTGAACTACGACCCAATGGGTGAATGACGACAAGTACTTCAAGTCGCTCTTGCAGTTCCTGCACGACGCTAGACTGCACTCCTTTCTTTGAACCCCCCCCCCCCCCCCTGCCCATATTATGCCGTGTGGCACAATTTACGGAAAAAAAATTAGTTCAATAGTCAAGTTCTCGCTTGACGCTTTTTTCAAGAATGATTATTGACTTATAACTTCAAGCGTGTCATCAAGGTCTCCAACAGAGTCGGCACATTCACGTCTGGCAGCATCGTCCTCCCTAGGTGAGAGAGATGTTGTGGCCAACGACGTCGGTTGTCGCAATCCTCGAATTCGAGCAAATCTCCAGCCTGTGCGGAGCGTCCGTTTCGTTAAATAAACTGCCTGGGGAAGTTTTGGTTTAGACACAGATGTTGAAGGACCGCACCGCTTAGCTGGTCTGAGTGGTACAGGCAACTTGCCTTTGCCCGGAGGCCTTGTATCCTAATGTAAACCGCCTGCTGAAAATCCTGGCCACCGTGTCCGTTTGCACCGCTGAAACGGAACGTTCGTTCTCGATACTCCGGACTCAAGTCATACCTGAGAGCTTTAACGTCCCAGGAGCGCTTGCTAGGGGTTGAGCTTCTGAACATTCACCGGAACATCCATGTCAGCGCCGAAAGTGTTGTCTCGCTTCTTTCTATCAACCGACGGCGGCTTCCACTAAATGTTTAGACCTTACAAAGCGATAGAAACTGGTACTTTCTACGCCCCTTTCTCTTAAAACGACATCGAAGAACATCAAAGCATGACCATACCCAGTGGCGTCACTAGGGTCAGCGGCACCCGGGGCGATGGCCCGCGGTGACACCCCCCCCCCCCTCCCCCCTTTTGTGACCCGTTGCGACACCCCCCGGAGCGCTGCACCGGGGCGGTCCGCCGGCCCGCACCCCCCTTGTGACGGCACTGACCATACCATGTATTTCTGAAAATCTGATCCGCGCAGGAACAATGAGCGCGATGCTTTACTTGCTCATTGCCCCAGTGCACATTGCAGTTTTTATGTTTAATCTTATTCTGAACTCCACTATTCACTGGCACTCTTCAGTAGTTTTCTTAGTCATTGGATACCTGAGTGTTTCGCAAAGGAGTGAACCCACCGGAATATTTTGCGGGCCTGTCTAGACTTTCTTGTTCAAACCCCTTTACTATATTTTGTGATTGCGTGTCTTCTTTGTTCACCATTAAAGTTTCTTCCTATAAATATTGAACGAATGAAATGCGGCAAAAGAGGTTGAATTTTTTTCTTCTAAGGAATAGAAAAAGAGTAACTAAAATTGTGTTTCTGCAATTTCTTTTCCACACACTTGTTTTTTTTTTTATTTTAAACGGTTTGAGCAAAAAAGAAAACACCCTCTGAAACAATTCTCTTGCGACGCCACTGCTTTATATTTTATCGACACTTTCATCATCGTACAGAGCGCGACACTAATAGCGCGAACAAGCGATCGCCGGTTTTCCCAGTTTTTCTCTTTGAAACCAAGGTATGTCATCCAAGTTATTCTTGCTACGAAAAGAGCTGAATTAGTTCTATAATGTAAGCGATAAAATATCGTTCTCGCTAATACTATTTAAAAGTAAAATGAGAAAATGCGCCAATGTCGTGTTCGCGCTAACAGTGTCGCGATGTGTACCTGTTTAGAGTGAATAGAGGAAGGGTAGTGAGATCAGGCGCCGACGCGAATCATGCGTTGCTGCGAAGCAGCGAGCATCGAAAGGTTCCGGATGTACGAAGTGGCGCAGCGGTAGTATGGGCTAGAGGAAACGAGCGTTCCGAGGGCCTTCGGCGAGCAGGCTTTGTTGGCTTGGAGGTTTGTCAGCGTGAACTGACTCCCTTCCACATCTCTCCCCGTGTATTCTGGCGCTTATGTCGAATGAAGTTCAATGCCGAATCGACGACGGCAACGACAACGACCACGACGACGACGACGACAATGCCAGTAGAGCAGCAGACCAGCCCTTCACACGCGCTTCATCCAGTCCTAGCTTTAATGGCGCCCTCTCGTGCCGTCGAGGCAATGTGCGGGAACCGTGAGCACTCGCTGCACTACCCCTCCTCTACTTCACTTTAACGTGGTATCCAAAGAGGATACCACGTTAAAATGAACCGTACTTTGTCGAACAAAACAAAGTTTACGAATCCACCGAATAACAAAATCTTTGGCGGAGCGAGGATTTTAAGTCCGGGTTTTCAAATAACCTGTTGGGTGGTGTAGTCGTGTAGAGGGACCGGACGCGGTCCCTCTTTTCGACAGTGGTGCACCTAAACGTAGTTCTTGGGCACATTCATATTTAGCGGACGTGTCGGAACAGGGAGGCTATGAAAGCATTCTTCCCTAGGTTATTGCACCAACCTTTGCGAGCACTCGCTTGCATTCCGCGAGTACCCTCTCCGGATCCGTCGCAGAGCAGAGGACGTACATCATCAGCACGGCGTCGAAATGGCCGTCGGGGACGCCCCGCATGTCTTCGCCGCACCCCTGGATCCACCGTTCCATCGTCACTTTGGGGTTTCTCTTCAGCTGCGCGCGGAGGTCGGCTCCAAACTCTGGATTGGGGTCCAGTGTCCAGTACTGCAACTTCCGCTCCACGTGCTCCAAGTTGGCTCCGGAACCTGTGCCGATCTCCAGGACCCTCAGGGCGCCCTGCTTCCTCAGTGTGTCATCGTGCGAGAGCAGCTCCTTCAGCTGGCCCACGGTCAGGCGACGCAATCTTCCGAGCCTGGCGTTCAACAAAAGCATTGCTACGGGGTAAAATAGCCTCGCAAATAACGCTTCTTGGATCCTTTTGCTCAGCCTGATTGGCACGAGAAACAAAATCCCGCAGATTATGCACACGTAAACTAGGCAGTTCAATGCAGCGTTGATGACCCTTTCCATTCCGTGAAGGGTTTCGTCCACCGAATTCGCGCACAAACTGCAGCGACCGGATTCTTTCTTTCAATCGAATTGTGTTAGCGATGTGCGCGAAATCATCACCAGCGAACAAAGCTCAAAACTGAATTTGGTTGTTCACTTGCTTCTTTCCGAACACGCTGCGTATACCTAATGCTGGTTGAGACAGCTGGGGCGAGTGCGCTAGCTACGACTGCGCCCGTTCCAATTACGTCGACTAAAACAACTGCTCTGCGCCGCACCTATACGCCCCAATTTCGACAGACGTGGCAATCAGCAGAGCGACAGTCGCATTCCCGCTGCCGTCAATTGTTTAGCTGTGCCTCCAGAAAAACGGGACGAACAGCGAACAAATAGATACACTTTATAAACGCAAGCTCTATCAAAACTGTTATTTCCAGGATCGGGTCCTGAGGAGAAGGTAAAAAATAAAAAAAAAGGCACTTAACCGTTGATATCTGCATGGATAATGCCTCTACGCCAATCGCTTCTACCTCCTCATTAATCTCGCCACATGCACTTCACAATTTCAGGGGCAGATGTAATTTCAGGAGTGGTACTTGCGGCGAGAGCCACGTTAGGGGGTGCCACTGAGCAGCACGTAAATGTCACGTGATACCCGGAATGTGAGCATGCCGCGGGTTGGTTTACATCACGCGCACCATAGGCGAGCGTGATCGCTTGCTTTCGGACCTGAGCGCGGTGGTTCGTTATTGTCCTGTTATCGGTGACACCATACGCGACCGAAACAGGTGTAGGTTTTCATCCATAATCAAGAGAAAAACAACTGCGGAAGTAGAGATGAAAGCATGGCAAAAAGGTGTGGGAGAGCGCGATGGTGTGTGCGAACTACTTATCAGACGCTTTCACGACGAATCGTGTTGTTTTTTTTTTTTTGTATTCTGTATTGCTTTTTTTCGCGCGTTCCTGTTTCGTCCTCCGTACAGTTTTCGATTGGCGGGATTCGGCGCCAACGATAATCCCATGATACGCCTTCCCTTTTTCCCGCACCTGAATGTCTCTCTCCGTGTCGTACGTGTCACCTGACGCGATGCGAAGTCGAAAGAATGAACAGTGTCAATTATGTTGTCCAATACCAAAGGATGCTTCTGTGTATGTTCAACAAATCGGGCCCCGAAGGTCCCACATTCGAGCAAGTCTTGCCTTTCTTCAACGAGGTAGAGGGGCTTACAGTGATAAACCGGAAGTTCGGAAGTGGCACCCCCCCGGTTGCCGCCATGTTTTACCCAAAAGTGACTACTCGTCACGTGACCTCCCAAGAGCCGTGACGTCACAGGTAAGATGGCAGCGCCCAGAGCTGGCGGATGCGAGTTTGTTTGGTGCGCGGTAGCCGCGATGTGCAGCGGCTTTCCGACGACTTCGGGCTTTTTCGTGCTCGCTGACGCAGGTATAATGTGAAATTATGAAGAGATTAGACTTTATACCCTTTTTGCGCAAGATCGCTCTGGATCATCTGGGTATTAACACCTGTGAGACAGCATCAGCCGTATCGCCGTACCGGTGCTCGGATTCGGGATCTGTTCGAGGATCGATACAACTTTGAGTACTTCTAGCATAAACTTTTCGCATTCTCTTAGCTTTGTTTGAATGTTGGAATGTCTGAAAATCGACGCGAAATGTATGCGTCGGATGTAGGGCCTAGGGGAATTTGTTTCAGCCCTAGGTAACTGCATAATCACAGCAACTTTTAGCGACGAAGCTCTTGCGACCGTTACGTTTCGCACTTATCAACAATTTTACGATATAACTTCAGGCATAAAATATTCGCATTTTTCTAGCTTCGTTTGAACGTTGAAATGTCTGAGAATCGAAGCGAAAGGTATACGTCGCGTTAAAGCCTAGGGGAAGTTCTTTCAGTCCTGCGTCACCCAATAACCCTGGCAACCTTTAGCGAGGAAACTCCAGCGATCTTTAACCTTTTGTGCTAATCGACGATTCTACATTCGGTCGCTTTTCTTTCTTTTTTTGTGAGTGCGAAGTGCACACTTATTTCCAGCTACGAGGTTGACGTTTTATTGAGTGTGGGGATGAATAAATTGTAACAGGCACCTCCTTCAAAGCTTTTTGACTTGCTATACGAACAACTATTTTACTGTATGCATAGATGAACTGCGCCTTTTTCTCTTTTGTAAAATTTATTGCGTCAATACTTTTTTTCATCAAGAGTGCATTGCATTAGTCGGTCAATTATTTACTTGTTCTAATTACCTGGATCAGATTATTCATATTTGTGTTCATCCCTTGCCTGAAGAGCAGTCTTGTTGAAAAATGTTGACCATTCCATTCGGCCTCTTCAACAGACTTTTTTGAAAAGTGTGGGCTGCCTATACTTCGTATCATTTTAACTTAAAAAAGGGCAACCGCCACAGCTCCCTCGAGCCAATAAGAGAGACGGAGCGAAGGTGTGTGACAAATCTGTGCAGACGAGCACTTTGAATGACATGTTATCATGTGCCTCTCTCCAACCTGCAAATTGGCTCACCGAGACTGTAGCCTTTGCCGTTTGCCAAATTGTGATGAAACGAATTACACTAGCTACTATTCTAATTACCACAGGCTTTCCTACTTTGGGCATTTGTTCGACAAGAATGTTATGTCCGCCATCACTGTGAACTCGGCTCAGCGCCTATTGGACTGGAATGCTGCATTAGCATTCGACGTGGACTGGGGCCCATTCGTGTGCTTTATACGCCGAAAAAAATGGTGACAGTTGTGTTGCTTGATGGGCTTCTGCAAAGGGTCTAGTGTGTCATACGTATAGGAAGTGTCCTGCTCTGCAACAATGCATCCATACTACTAAACTAGATGCTCAGAGGTGTGTTTGTTTTTGCGCTCAACAAGTTGCAGCAATAAATATTTCTTACTAGTGTAATATTTATTTTCGGTAGCTGGGCCTGGTTTGTGCACATTAATGTCCGTGTGCTTTGATGTTATCACGTGTGTAGCTTTAAGTATCCTCTCTGCAATGCCTACAGAGGCCCTTGGAGGGAATAAATTAATAAACAACATTTTCGCATCACTGGAGTTGGTTTTCGGATGCGCCACATGTTCAGGAGAAGTAGAACGAGTGCAGCCCAATGCAACCAGTCTGCCAATCTGGTATGTCCCATTATTTCATATTGAGGGGGTCAGAGATGCAGGTGTCCTCAAAAGGTCCAGCACGTGCCGTGAATATAATTCTTTGCGTAGACACTCTGAAGGCGTGAAGGCGAGCGGAAATATGTTTATCTGGTAAGTGTATCAAATATGTTTATTTCCACTTAATTGCATAATTATTGATTCTTAGAAAATGGTTCCATAACGAGTTCTTTCTGCGACAGTCTTGTGTCAGGCGTCCAGTCGTAGTACCTGTGCTCCTTGTTGTCGGATGACGCTCCTGTCACGTCGGTGTTCAGTTTGGTCGAGTGGCAGCTTTGACCGACAGATGCCGTCTTGTAATCATACGCCGTGTTCGGCCACTTACATTTGATGCACTGAAGCTGCAGAGCTGGCTTTTAATCCGCAAATTTTCCTGGTAGTTCTCTGCGTCAATGCAGCAAGCTCGGGCATGTGCTTACGTGGATGTGCCTTTTGCTGTAGTGTTGACTAGATGGCTGGCAACAGGCAACAGTGTTTGTTTGCTATCCAAGCCATTTCACTTCCATTTCGTAATGGAGATTTTTTTCTGCATCCCGCGACCACTGCTACTTGTGTAAGTCTCGTGTGGCAAAGTGAAGTCGGGTGATGCTTGGTGTCCACTTTTGAGAACAACCAACCATTCTATCTCTTCAAGTCACTCAGCGGCATTCTCCCTCAAAGATGGAAATTGCGTGCTTCTTGTAGTGGAAACAGATGAATGGTGTCGGCAAATTGTTAGGTATTGTCCTTGGACAACAACCAACACCAAATCAACTGTCCTTGCATTGCCGCTCACCTGCTTTGTCGTGCTTACCTCCTGTCGAGGTGATGGGGATGAGGTACTTCGGGGTAATGTCAGCACCAGGGGCAAAGGTCACCGAAGATAATCCTCAATGTCCCGCGGACGCCCCTCGAGACGTGGTCTAAGGTCGTTCGGCACAAACTCTTGCAGGCCAATTCATTGGTACCGGCACCTCTATTAGACATGGTTGGCCTCATGCAGTGGTAGCAGAGTGGTGTTCGGTCGACCATTCGCAGCACCTCCGTTTTTCCCGGTATAATTTGTTCAGCAAGAACCTACACTGGTTCTTTCCGATGTTGGGAATGCTTCGGCGTTGGGGTGTCTCATTGAATTTGTATTGAATATTAACTGGTAGCCGGTTTTGGACGTCGTGACTTTGTGGCATAAGCCGCCCTCGGTTCGTCAGATGCCTCTTTGCTTGAAGAAGTTTTCAGTTGAAATGCCTGTTTAACTTGTTCCGAAACAATCTCAGCAATCAAATAAAAACTAAACAACTGATGGCAGAAAGTAGCTTCCTGATCTCCTCCCGGACAACAATGTGGATGATGTTACGGATGCCTGGGAGTCTGGCGTCGAAGTTGCAGCTGGATGACTCGAGTGTTGAGACGCTGGGGAGTTGTTGATAGTGACAGACTCGGCCTACAGTGTACATTCAATGTTGGAAGTCTCGGTGATATGAACCCTTCGACTGTTGTCGTGGGGTTGCGGACAAGGCTGCCAAAGGTGCTGCCCCTAACATGAGGGGCTTGGGATTCTTATCTTCTCGTCTTCTGTAGCACCAGGGTTGGCGTGGGTGCTCGATCAGGTGCAAAACATCCTCCACGAAGGCAGCGACGCTCTTGTTGGGGCCGTGTCCTGGACAGAATCAGGAATTCGGCTCTCTCTCGTCAATGTTGGCTGATGAACGTGCACTTCAGCTTGATCTTGCAAACTTCCCATGACGTTGAGGAGGATTTGTGGTTCTCAAAAAAGTGCCTGACAGTTTCTTTCACGAGAAGTATAGTTTCTGCAGGAGCTGGTTGTCTGTCCACCCGCTGTGGCGGGCAACACGGTCATATTGTTCAATCCAGCCCTCGACATCTTCATATACCATGCGTGAAAGGGCGTCAGAGTGTGAGGTGCTACGGGCATACAAACAATGGTGGTTGTGCTACAGGTTTGTCACTGCTACAGGTTTCTCATTGTTGGCTTAGTCAGCTTCGGATTTCTTCTCGCAAAAGACCGAATTCCGGTGGTTCCTGCTGGTAACAGCGACCGACTCGGATTTCAGGTTCTTC